CTGGCTATTCAGCAGCTCGTGGCCTCATTCAAAGTTGGAGCCCCTCGCCGTCTCAAGGCATTTCAGAAGATGCTGGGCCTCATGGCCTCCGCGTCTCCGGTACTTCAGCTGGGCCTGCTTCGCATGTGGCCCCTTCAGTGCTGGCTGAAACCGCAAGTTCCGTCCCACGCCTGGCGTCTCGGACGCCTTCGTGTCAAGGTGGACCGGGCATGCATAGCAGCTCTGGCCCCTTGGAAAGACTCGGTGGATGGCACGTGGCTTACTACAGGGAATGTTCTGCAGAAGGAAGGTGGTCTCGACAGACGCTTCCAACACGGGTGTGCTGGGCAGGTTGAACCAAGGAGGTGACATGCTATCTCGGAGCAACATCCCCTCAGAAGAGTGGATGCTCCACCCACATACGGTTTAAAGAATCTGGGAGATCTTCAGCAAGGTAGAGGTCGACCTCTTCGCATCAGAAGACAACTCTCACTGCCCAATTTACTTTTCGAAGGACAAGAATGCGTTGGCCCATGACTGGCCCAACCTCCTCCTTTACGCTTTTCCCCCGATTGCCCCGATCCCACAGGTAATCAGGCGAATCAAGGAGCAGAAACACAAGGTTCTGTTGGTGGCCCCGCTCTGGAGGACCCAACACTGGTTTGCAGAGCTGTCTCAGCTGCTTCTAGCAGTCCCGTGGCCCATCCCCCTGAGACGAGACCTCCTCTCTCAGGCGAACAGAACGATATGGCACCCCCAGCCCGAGCTATGGGCTCTGCACCTCTGGCCTCCCCGAAAGCGTTCTAAACACAATATCTCAGGCTAGAGCACCAAATCGGCACAGACCCAATTTCCTGCGGCATATCTCTGATATTGTCCTTCCTGCAGGAGCTGTTGGATAAGGATCGTTTCCCTTCCACGCTCAAGGTCTATGTAGCAGCCATAGCAGCCTCACACGCTCCTAGAGCTGGCCAGCCCCCTCCTTTGGAGCCGCTACAGTCCGTTGACCTTCATCCCCTGACGCTAAAAACCACTCTGCTACTGGCATTAGCATCAGTACAGCGTATGGGAGATCTGCAGGCGCTCTCAGTGAGCCCTACCTGCCTCAAATCCGGGCCCAACGACTCCAAGGTTGTCCTGAAGCCGAGGCATGGTTATGCACCTAAAGTGCTCTCGACTCCGTTCAGAGCACAGGTGATAGCTCTTTCGGCGCTTCCTCCTTCGGGCAGGACCAAGAGTTAAATCTACTCTGCCCTGTCAGGGCATTGAGAATATACATTGAGCGTTCCGCCACATTCAGGCTGTCAGATCAGCTTTTTGTATGCTTTGGTGACCGCACCAGAGGGTCTCCGGTCACGAAGCAGAGACTTTCCAAATGGATAATTGACGCTATCAAGTTAGCGTACTCTTCTTTGGGCCTTCAATGCCCCATGGTCTAGCAGAGTTTCCATTGCAGAAATTTGTGCAGTGGCCGGCTGGGCCTCGCCATCCACATTTACCAGGTTTTATAATCTGGATTTCCCAGCTTTACAGGCTCGGGTCCTTTCTGCTTAAATGGACTTACTCTGCTAAAACCAGTGCTAAATCAGGCGTTTGCCTTCTCTGTACGCTCTTGGCCCCCACTGGGTTCCGAGGCTGTAACGATTTTTCTTGGAGCGATTACTTAGCGCCGGGCCGACCTCTGTGAGTTTGGCCCTATCACTTCCTGTGGGGCTTCCCTGCAATTACTTGGTCCCTCTGGGCCCTTGGTGCTCAAGGCAAGTTCAAGCATTGGTCGTTCCTCTAACATAGCACGGCGGGATTATACTGCTTCCCCAAAGCGTCTTAGCAGACGCAGTACGAGTGAGGTATCGATAGGAAATGTACTCGGTTACTAACGTAACCTCGGCGAAGTGCACGCTTATATAGCCAGATGCCCTGCCCAAATTGGCGGGCTGTGTCGCCATAGGCTCATGCAACTCCGCTGCCGAGCCATTGGTTCGTTTTTAATAATACACTGCACAAACCAATGGCCGTGTAGTTAAACTGCGTGATTGAAAAAGGCTTCAGTCTTAGTAAACGCAGTACTCGTTCCCGTATCTCAGGGAACTGAGGTTCCGTTAGTAAACGAGTATGTTTCTTTGTAATGAGATTAGTTAGTTTGTAAACCAATAAACAGTATAATACATTTGGCCTTTGTCAGAATCCTGCTAGAAATTGCGAATAGTCCAAAAATCTTAATCTTTTTAATCTCATGCTAAACATGAAATATACCTCTTTCTGAAAATTTAGATTTTTCCAGTTGTCTGTGTTGAACTTGTAACCATCTGCAAGAATGCTGTGCACATAATTTGCAGAGTAGCAGTAGGACTTCAGATGGATGTCTTTGATGTCTTTGATGGATGTCTTGAGCTAAAGGGGGTCGGGGGGACATTAAAAGGTAGCTTTATTGATTTTACACATCAATCAAATCTACACAAAGAATAATTTCTCCCAGTCTATATTTTCCTGCCAGTCATGATTATGCAGCTGGTCAATACTCACAGTTTTCCAGTCCTTTGAGCATAACAGTTTCATGTTTGTGTTGAATGTCTCCATACTTTTGGAGCCCTCCACTTTAAGAGCCCAGGCAGTCCAGTAGAAGCCTGCATAAGCCTAAGCAAAAATGTCATAATGTTTGGTCACAATAACATGCAAGAAATTAATGACATTTGACACTATTGAGGTTTAACCATAAAGGTGCCCATTTGATTTGAGAGCTGCATTATTACATCACTGAGATTGCACAAAGCTACCAAATGGCTTCCAAAGCCTTGGAATATAGTATACTTGTCAAATGCTCTTCTTTTATGGTGAATTTGAAGTCCTTCAAAATAATCAGATTTTTCAAAATTCTCTTTTTGCATTCTACAGGCAAAATAAAAGCATACAAGTTTGGAATGACATGAGGTTGAGTAAATAATGACAGGATTTTCATTTTTGGGTGAACTATCTCAGTAACACTTTCAATTCTCACTATTGACTAGCTGTTTAGTATGCATATTACTAGCACTAATGACTAATTCCTTATTCTGCATGACCATATTTTAGATCCCTTAATCCTACCCAAAACCTAAACGTAACAACTACCTTACTAAGTATTAATAAGCAGCTAGGAATTTATTGAGTGAAAACTCAGTGAATATGTATTCCCTAATCTAAAGCATTACCACTATTTCTGCTACAGTGTGTAGCTTAACTAAGAAAAATGCCTACCATGAAGTCTCCACTGAGTGGTGGTTGATAAACTCCATCAAAGGAACAGTTTTCAGTTCCCTGGCAGGATGTCAGTTCAAAGATACTCCTGACCAAGAATTTGCACTGTTCAGGGTTACTCTGTCCAAAGAAAGTAATATATCGCTTTGGGCTATACTTCGTTGGAAGATCATTCTTTGTACATTCACTGCCAAAAACCTCCTCTGCAAGCATGGAGATATTGTAGCCAGAAGGATAACAGGGGTGCTTCAAATTAGCCCAGCTGGTGGATTCCTGGGAAAGAAAGAGAGAGAGAGAGAGAGAGAGAGAGAGAGAGAGTGAGAGAGAGAGAGAGAGAGAGATCGTGACAACTATGCAAAATGATAAGACTTTACTTAAAGCCTTTATAATGCATTATAAAAGGTTAATAAAGGGTATAATGTATTTTAATTATTCAAAATGTGTGCTGTAATACATTATATCTTGTCGTAAGTAATCACAACCAAATTTAAAATACATAGTGTAACAATGAATTCATAAGTGTTATAATGTATTAACTGTGGTTACAATTATTCATGCGATTGTACAATGCATTATAACGTGCATTACAATGCATAATTAATGCATTAAAACTAATTTTATAATGCATTATACATAAAGGCTTTAAGTAAAGTGTTACCTTTTTGTAATGATAATAGCTAATTAGTCATTAAAATAGTTAATCATTAAAAATATTGGAGTGAAAATTTCCCATCTTGTTGGCAAAGGTTATTTACACTAGCTCTGCCCATCCCCTATCTGGTTGAGCTAGACAAAATGACAAAATAATCCTGTTAATCGAATGGGCTGGCACATTGACCATGACACGTAAAGCTCATATTGTGCACATCAGAACTGTGGCTCATTCTCAAATCCTCTTCCTGGACCTTTGATGACACATTTACTGATCAGCAGGTTCAATATGGTTAGGGAAAGATAAGGTCCCATTAAGGCAGCATACATTGATGTACGTATCATATACAAGGGATATGTTGTTATTCTTGAACACTATTTAACAATGTACTACAACTACAATGAGGTTCAAATAATATCTGCCACTATTTGCACTACATATAAATAGCATTTAACACTATTTAATAAATTGGAAAACATTACGACCTCTGGGGTGGGACAGACCACCTTTGATGTGTTTAAAACTAGTCAATTTTAATGTTAGGATAGTTTTATGTTAGGAAATACTTAATATAATGCATCTAAAGAAAATATTGATATAAACATTTCTGGTAGAAATCAGGAAAAACATGATGAAATTCCATTCTCTTTTTCAACCCTACATTAAATGGCTAATGGCAGTGCAGTCTGTACAAGTATTGACATTGTTTGGGGAAATGTTAAGCATAAGCTATGGGCTTAATTGCATCTCTCTCAGCAATAATGGATTTTAGAAGAAAGGTTTTAGGCAAATTTTGCCGATCAGTGTCTTTGTGTAGGTGAAACAAAAAGAAGCTGTCTAACAGGTATAATTCAAATGCAATCTAAAAGAAAAATCCAACGTGGATCTAAAACGTTTTACCTACTGTATCGTAAATAAAACATATTTATATTTTATAGAACAAGTACTAATTCAGATGAATTCATTTGACAATGACATGAGTGTACTCTACCTTTGCAAGTTTGGCCAAAACTCTCTTCTCAGCTTCATTTTTCCCGTAGCAGAGGAAACTGTGAGTATAGATGTTGTATTCATAGCCATAGAGTGAAACCTTAATCATGTCTTCACCTTTGGCATCATCAGAAGTGGCAAAGGCAATCTGGGTGGAGGCTCCACCCAAATCCAATGAGCCAACTGTCTCAGCCCCATGAGGGTGTACCCAGGCATTCCAGAGATTTTTCTATAAAACAGACTAAAGTTTAAAATTGTAAAAGTTCAATAAAGCTCTATTTTCTCTACTTTTTGTTTAGATTCAATATTGTGTCATGACTGTACCTTGAATGTGTCTTGTAGCTTTAAGATAAGATTCTCTTCTAAATGTGAGACTAGAATCGTGTATTGTAATGGTTAAACATTTGTGTTGTTTAAATACATTTAATATGAAACTGTAACTAAACAAATCTTGAGATTTTGGTTAGATCCCAAAAAAAAAAAAAAAAGAATCAAAAGATCCCCACTGCACAGTAAAGCTGCCCATGAACTGACCTCTAGAAAGTTCCCCTTCAGGTAGTTGACAGTGATCCAGCCATAAAGGCCTTCTTCCTGTCCAGAGATAATGGAAGCATTTTGAAAATTGAAAGGAAGAGAGCTAAGGTAGTTCCTGATGTATTTCAGAATAGTGTTGGAAGTCTCCTCATCTTTCATACTGTGTAGAAAAAAGATATTGCAAAGATATGGCATGCATCGTGTCACTGTCAGGTTAACTTTGTGGTAACTATATATTTAGATATTTTATTTGTTGATTGATTGAAAATTGTTATGTGAGAAATAACATAATTTGAACACTTTGGACATAATTTTAACACTCTGAACGTGCATAAGGCCATTTGTCTTTTATCTAATATTATGTTATTTATATTATATTCTATTATCTAACGCTGAACTCTCAGTATGACAGTAAATGGCTCAACTGATACCTATAGCAATAGAGATAAGAACATAAATAGAAAATATTACCAAAAAAAAATAAAGGAATGGAATTTGTTTAAATCATTCTTACTGTAGAAGCCTCATCCCTGCTGTTGCCCCAAGGAAGACTGGGGTCGAGTTATGCCGATGGGAAGGAATGACCTCGGTTATCTTTGCTATGCAATCTTTTAAACTTTTCAATGTCTTTTCATCCTGATCCCCATTTTTACCAAGATCTGAAATTCCAGGGCCTTGAAAAGACACATTTTATTATTACATTACTTTCTGTAATATATAAAATGTTTAAGTTGCATTATTATTGTATCACTGCCTATGTTAAACGAGTAGTAAAGAACAATAGTAAAAAAGAGTAGTAAAGAACTATACTTATTATAATTTTTTAATCTTTTTAAAATAATTATTAATATACGAACAATTTATTTTTTACTTTTCCTATTTCAATAAATGTTGTGAAAGAACAGTCAACCTGCAAACTGTGAGAGTATTATGTTGTATTATTTGTTAAATAGTGATTAAATAGTGAAGGTCAAGATCTCAGCATACACACATTTGATGTATAAAACATGCTTTCACAATTTATCCTATTATTATTAGTAGTATTATTTTTTTTATTTTTTTTACATCATGGGACACCCAACTTGGGCAGAATTCATGGAAAGTTCCACTTATATCTCTGAGCTATTCACTGTAAAGAATAAGCCATGTCTTTACAAAAACCTTCCGAGGTTTTAGGTCAGTTGATTTGTACCTTCAACCTGACACTTTGTGGTCTCACTCACAACCCCAGTGCTGTTTTCTTTCTCGGCAGGCCACTCATAGAGATACACAGTGGTCCTGGAGGAGCCTGCATCCAAAACAATACCATACTGGAGAGAGAGAGAACGAGAGAGAGAGCAACAGAAGTGAAGAAAGACATTGTTACAGTAACCATGTCACCACCAAATTCTCAAGATCTTGCAAAGCCATAAAGAGCTTATTCATTTGCACTCTTCGCAAAATGCATTGGTGAATAGCAATTTGCCATAGTCTAAATCATGACTGAGTCAAGCATTCAAGAACAGACATGTTTAAATGCCTGAAGCCCTTTTGGAAGAAACTAATAAAAGCACATTCTTCCGTTGGGAAAATATTCAAGGATTGACTTTATGAGCCATCAAAAGGATCATCTATCTTAATATTAAGGATGCAACATTGGAATTAAATAACTCCATCAATGGTGATTATCCACTGTTTTTGTGTGTAGAAACAGGTTTCCGGTGAGTGTTGTAAAAAAAAAAGTATTTGTTTTCACTAAAAGTAATAGGAAACCCATATATTATATATTATTAAACAAATAATATTATATATTTTTAAATAACAAATGAATAAGTTAAGGAAAAGCCATTCTTGAACATGACTGGTAAGCACCAATTATACTTTTATGCCTCATAATTTTATACACTCTAAAAAGAACCCAGTTTATTAGTCAGTTTAATAGGTTCCCACTTGTATCATGCATGCTCAAATTACATAATTTTACCTTTAATCCACGGGATATATAAGTCTTCTTATGAGTTTGTACAACTGCTATAGATATGATGACTGCTATGCTGGCCAGCATAAAGGCGGCGGCCAAAGCTGTTGCCACTTTTGCCATCCTCACCTATAGACAAAAAGATGAATATATCAAATTTCCATCTTGATTCTCATGCAACTAATAGCTGAACACTATTTATAATAGAAGATCAAGTAGGAAAAAAATGTTATTCAGTGGAAAAAAAACTTTAACTTTTTATTGGCAATTACTTTAGAAAACCATGTAGTCATGCTTTGAATCTAGACATCAAGCAATCATTTATCCAACATGTGCATAAAAGGTTAAAATGTGCATTTAAAATTATGAGGTGAGCTTTAAATTTTAAGGTAACTTAATGTAACCTTGTAATCACGATGCTTCAATTTAGATGTTATGTTATTACATAATTATTAAGCCTTTATTAAGCTTTTTTTTTTAACTGACAAAATCATTTTACCGTGAGTAATTGAGGAAGAGGGTTATTTGTTGAGCCTGGGAACTGTTAATAAAAATGTTACTTTCTAAATGAATTCCCCAACTAATGACTTTCAGCATTTGCTTGGGGAAAAAAAATGTAAAAGTGCCATGTTGTGAGATTTGAGTGAGCTGTGAGAACTCTTCCACATACTGTCAAGCCCACAGGCACTCTGTCAATCATAGGTTTGTTATCTTCTGTAAAAATGGTCTGGAGCACATGCAGTTTTGTACTCTACTCAACCAGATATAAGTATGTACTCATATCATCCTGGAGCCTCTTACCCTAACCCATATTATGGTTTCAGTTTCTAATTTGATCAAAGAAAGTGGTTAGCATTTTGAACTCAAAGACATCCAGTATTAACATCATTCTAATACTGCTTCTGTGCTGTCATTCAAAACATCTTACCATGGAATTGCTTATTTAAACTCTATATGTGACCCTGGACCACAAAACCAGTCTTAAGTGTCAATTATTCCAAATAAATAAGCTTTTCATTGATGCATGGTTTGTTAGGATAGGACAATATTTGGTCGAGATACAACTATTTGAAAATCTGGGATCTGAGGGTGCAAAAAAAAAAATCAAAATATTGAGAAAATCACCTTTAAAGTTATCCAAATTAAGTCCTTAGCAATGCATATTACTAATCAAACATTACGTTTTGATACATTTACGGTAGGAAATTTACAAAATATCTTCATGGAACATGATCTTTACTTAATATCCTAATGCTTTTTGGCATAAAAGAAAAATCTATAATTTTGACCCATACAATGTATTTTTGGCTATTGCTACAAATATACCCCAGCGACTTAAGACTGGTTTTGTGGTCCAGGGTCACATATTATATACACATATATTTATTTTGAGATGCAAGCCCACAAATTGCTCTTTTGTAGAGATGTAACATTATATGGCAGATTTCAGAGATATCATACCAATCAATAAAAGAGTACAACAAAATCAATGAAATTCTTCATTAATCTAACCAAACATTTGTGCTATGATCTGATCCTACATGATCTGATAAGAAAACAAATATCAAATACAAAATACATACATTTCGGTAACAATCATGCCATTATTAATACAGTGATAAAAGGTTTATTGCTTACCCCTCTGCGTGAGGCTGTTGTAAGGTGGTCTGAAGATTGTGACTCTTTATTGATCATTCTGTCCAGACGTGCAAGACTGTGAATGTGTAACTGTGTTTGGACGTGTGTGTGAGAGTGTGTGCATATGTTTGTGTGTGAAAAAGCATGCTGAGGAGACAGAATGGGAGGGGTTTGGCAGTCAATCCCAGTAAGCAGGACCTCACTATTAAAGTTCATTAGAAACTCCACCCATTCAGATGGATGTTAATAAGGAAAAGACCATACGCCCTTGTTAACGTTTCTGAAAATAATCAGATAATATTACTAGCTCATTTTTAGCTATTTATCTGGGGATGATTTTTTTTTTCATTCATTTTTCAATTCATTAAATTACTGTTTTTAAAAATAAATAATCAATTGTTTTATGGAAATATTTAAATACATTTAAAATTCTTACGATGCTGTGCAGACACAGAACAACTGTCACGAATCCGGTCCATGAACTTCCATCCACTTGCCACCAGACTTGCCTGGACTATTGCTCATGTTATCGGATTACCCCTCTTGTCAAGCCCTCTGGATACTGTTAGACGCCGATCGACCACGCCCGCTTTGGATTACTTTTGTCTTGCCCTCGATATACCTGTGTGCCATTGCCTGACCCTTGCCTGTTTTGACCATGTTTAAGATAAAGCTTTGCAAATGGATCCGCATGCCTCTCGTCTCGTCAGCTCCGTAACAACAACATTTGATTCCTTTCCAGATATGTGCAGGCAGCTACATGTATTCTTAGTTATGAATATGGCAGTTCCCACTGCAAAGAAAAAAAGAGACTTCAGTTTATTTTTAAAACATATTTAATTCAATAATGTTAAACTACAAAATAATGACTTTATATTAGTGGGGAATACAACATATAAAGACCGTTTGCAAGAGTATTGACATTTGAGAGGTAAAATCTTTTCATAATTCTCTTTTTGCTGGCTGCGCATTAGGTGTTTTTAAAAGCTTGTAATATTATTTTGAAAATGCCCCTTTTAATGGGTTATTTTGTTTGCTTGGTCAGCTAGATGTGTTTATGCCTGATCCTAATGGGGCACTTTACAGCAACCTGAGAATGAACGAAAGAGCTGTGTGGTGATCAGAGCTCACAAAATATCACTTTATTGGAAAGTCACAGACCGCACGAGAGACATACTGACACTGACATTTACATTAACTCTCTGTTAGAACAGGATCCGTTTACACAACAGAGCCACACTTTGCAATGTGGTTTGGGCGAGGTATTAATCCTTCAGGGAAGATCTTCTCAAAGTGGAATCCACATTGACTAACAGAATTTGTAATGCAAACTGAAGGGAAAAAAAACATTCTGGGAACTGCTGGGGAAAAAAAGTTCTGAAAGCAATTCAGTCAACTGACCCTGTTGAATGACTGGTCACCAGTATGCATTGTGTTTTTCTGTCACGAATTCGGTCCATGGACTTCCGTTTATTCACCACCAGACCATCCATCCATCCATCCATCCATCCATCCATCCATCCATCCATCCATCCATCCATCCATCCATCCATCCATCCATCCATCCATCCATCCATCCATCCATCAGGAGATGATTCCATCCATCCATCCATCCATCCATCCATCCATCCATCCATCCATCCATCCATCCTACTTTCGTTCCAGCTCCTTATATTCAAACTTGACTTGCAATTTAGCATCCTTTTAGCACATTTTAAACGTATTTTAAATTCTGAAACTGAACTGGAATTTAAATTCAATTCTGAATCGAACCACTAATACTCAAACACTTTATGTAAAATCAAAGCAGCTCCAAAATGGGTACAGCTTAATTCACTGTAATGGTTACAGTAATTAATTCATTCTACTTTTTTTATTCCATTTGAATATTCCCACTGATAAAGAAATCTGCGTGAGAAGTTAAATGGGTAACTGTTAAATCATGAAATAGCCTGAATCAGCATGGAAATTCGTTCATTCTGGAAACTGGTTGACATTGTTGGCTTGACTTGCTGCCATCGTTAAAGTATTTTACTTTAAATAAAATTCCAGCATATGAGCTAGATGATGTCTTTAAGCTCACGATAATTGTATTACACCATTTACACTGTGCTGGATGCTTACTGTAGAGTCTGCTGTAAAATTACCTCTGTAAATCTGTTTTATGATTACTATTATCACTTGACCAAGCTCAGCAAAAGTAATATGATCACACCCAGATCATCCTGGATTATTATTATTATTTTTTGTTTTTTATTCTAAAGAAAAATGTTGAATTCTTCGGCTGTCTTTTATTCACTTCAGTTCTATACAAAGCGCTGGACATCCTCGCCACCCTGACGCCTCACACATCTAGGCAAAGCTGCTATAGCCTGGGAAGATGAATCATACCTTAACACTGACTGGAGATGAAGACAGCCAAACTGAATTAGATTGTTCTCTTCGTCATAGGGTGTACTGAATACATGTATTTTTAGCTGCTGGAAGTGTGATTTGACACTCCATTAGCCACAAGAAGCCGGAAAGTCAGTTCTTCGCAATTGGATTAGGATGGAGAAGGGAGGGAAAACAGGCATATTAAAGCCTTTCTCACTATGCTATAACATGGTTTGCAGTCCTTGGGTTCATTGCCACGCACACAGGCATTACCCCTATAAATACTCTTGCTTGTCAATGGTGTTTAATATCAAAAACGTGATCCAATGTGTTGATGACACAGATGACTGCAGTTTATTGTGTGGCTGTTTGTGAACTAATGACAAGAGCCACTTCACACCTTTTCCAAATCGTATGTGTTTAGTTTCAATAGAAAAGGATATACTTTACAATACAGTTCAATCTGTTAACATCATGTAATGCATTATGTGTGATGAACTAGAAATGAACAACTATATTTTTCCAGAATTTATTTTTATAGGCTAATATTCGTTTATAACTGACCATTGTTATTTCATGACCTTTTAGAAAACAATAAAAATTTATAAAATTTTGATAGTTAAAAATGTATTATACATAACCAAAATTAATAAATGTTGTTAAAGTGTTGTTTATTGTTATTTTGTGTAAAGGTTTTGTATTTATTACATATATAATTTACTTGGTGTAAAAATATGTTTTTAAATGATCATGCTTTTAATATGTTCACCATCTTAAAAATTAATGTTCAACATGCTCAGTGTAAAACTCTCCATTCGTGTATGCAGTCTCATTTACAATATATATAATAAGCATGATAGTAGATAGAAGAAAGGTGTTCCCCTAATTCTATTAATATATCATACAACCACTGAATAATATAATAGCATTCGATTCAATTAAATTCTCAGTGAAACTTAAAACCTCTAACCAAAATTAATAAATGTTGTTAAAGTGTTGTTTATTGTTATTTTGTGTAAAGGTTTTGTATTTATTACATATATAATTTACTTGGTGTAAAAATATGTTTTTAAATGATCATGCTTTTAATATGTTCACCATCTTAAAAATTAATGTTCAACATGCTCAGTGTAAAACTCTCCATTCGTGTATGCAGTCTCATTTACAATATATATAATAAGCATGATAGTAGATAGAAGAAAGGTGTTCCCCTAATTCTGTTAATATATCATACAACCACTGAATAATATAATAGCATTCGATTCAATTCAATTCTCAGTGAAACTTAAAACCTCTCTTATCACATTAGCATCCATATTTAGATAGGGAATCAATGCAAAGTTTAAGTGTGAATAGATATGAATGATTAACTCATTCGTCATAACATCCCTGAAGACTGTAAATGAACTTTTATTACTTTGGTCATTTGAATCACTTAAGTGGTGAATATCAATAATAATCAGGAATAAATGACCACGACTAGGATCTACACAGCGATTATTCTTCAGTTCATTCTTATCAAAGGCATTAATGCCAGCTATATCACTCAGCAATGATGGATTCCTATGTGTATACTGTGAATAAAATATACTGTTTTGTTGCTATATCTGTATCAGTTATTCTGTTTGTACACCCGATACTTTCAGAATACATTAATGCTTCCATTAGAAATCTTAAGTGGAGGAGGCTGAGATGTGTGATTCCTCTAGAAGCAATTAGACGAACAAGTGCTCCTTGGGTTTACAACTGACAGACACTGACTCCAGAGAGAAATAGTGTCCTTTTTACACCCACAGCAGTTAATCAAATAGCACAAATTCAGGATGGGGGAATAATGTTGACTAAACTGTACACAAATCATTCCTCCCTTAGGTCTTAAGAATTATTATGTCATGTCTGTGGTGTACATCTTTATTACCCAGAATGCATTTCCTCATGCATTAACAATTAAGGGCTGAAGGAGTCCAAGTCTGCTGGGACAGTTGTATATTTGTTTAAGGCATTTAGTTGAGCGCCAAACAATATCCTGTCACATTCTGCAGATATAATGTGAGAGGACAAACATGCCAATGAAACTTATTTTACTCATTTACGCTAAATTGTCAGACACTATATCTATGAAGGAGTGATCAAAAGAATGAATGTCTGACTTTGGGTGCCCTTTAAACAGACTTCCCATCTGCTAACTGTGCTTTCTGTATCCATACTTCAAATGTGACATCACAATTGGACACTTGTCCTTTTTTGACTGGAATATGAATAGTTTCTTTCTTGAGGCCCTCAAAGTCATAAAGTAGGTTTTAATATGCCATTTGCACAATTGAACATTTGTGTGTAATGTGTGTGATTCCCTATAATCATCTGCCAGGCAGTTTGTCTGGCCACCCAGCTTCGGAAAGAGTTGCATGCAACTATCATTATACTTATTTGGTGTGTTACATGGAAGATAATAATAATCCTATTCAGTTACCAGTTCATCATATCTGTAACATGTAAATTATATCATGTGTTGTCCTCCAACCCATTAAACTTAAAGAATAGTTCAATCAGAAATGAGAATTCTGACATCATTTACTCACACTAAATAAAATAATTTTCATTTTTCGGTGAAATATCCCAGTCATGCAGATCATCAGAAGTGTTCAGAAGAATTTGAGTGCTTAATGAGTGAAAATCAGCAA